AGACAGTAGTGTACTTGCCCAAACAGCTGAATTTCACTATCAGGGGCTGGCCAGCCTGCCTGAGAGCCTTAGCTGTGGCTGCTCTTCTCACAAAGGAGAGTCAGAAATTCATTTTTGGACAGCCCATCACTGTCTTCTCCTCTTACTCCCATGCCGATCTTCTTTCACACCAGGTTCTACAAACTCTGACATCTTCTCGTGTTCAACCGTTTCATCTACTTTTCACAGAAACTCCACATATATCCCTGGCCAAAAGCCCTCCTTTAAACCTGGCCACTCTCTTACCTATCTCTCACGATCATTCCATGCATTCTTGCACAGAATGCTGGATTATAAAATTCCCCACTTCCCCAACATTTCTCAACAGCTCATACCTAATTCCACTTAGACCGGGTTCATAGATGGCAGCTCCTATCTGCATGAGAAACAAAGGAGAGCTGGGTATGCTACAGCATCCCGAGAGAACATTATTGAAAGTGAGCCACCGCCCATAGGGACTTCTTCTCAAAAAGCTGAATTGGTGGCACTAATCAGGGCACTAACACTCTCAGAGAATGCAACAAGTACCATTTATACAGACTCTAAATATGCCTTTCACATCCTACACTCACATGCCTCTATATGGGAGGAAGGAGGCTTTCTCTCTACAAAGGGCTCCCCGATAGTCAACGCACCTCTCATTCTTAAACTCTTACAAACAGCTCGCCTATCAAAGGCTGTTGCAGTAATACATCGGAAAGGATACCAACAGGGCCATGGCCCCATTACAATTGGCAATAACTTAGCAGATCGAGAGACAAAAAAGCAACCTTGTGAAATCCTCCCATTCCTGCCAACCAAATGAGAGCTATCTCCCATGACTCCATTAACTATTCCCCTGAAGAAAAACATTCCCTACTAGAAGCTGGGGCCACTCAATTTGGCCCCTGGCTGCTAAACCAAGGAAAATGCATCCTCCCACGAGAACAAACATATACTATACCAAGAGATATACATAATCCACTACATGTAGGATTGAAACCTCTGCTCCAACTCCTAAAACCTCTCATGCACCGTCCAAACCTGTCTTCTCTTCTACAAGACATAATCCGCAAATGCTCTATTTGTTACTGGGTCTCCCCTCAGAGAGTAGCTAGGCCGCCCTCTTTTCCTACTCATCAAACACGAGGTTATGTTCCAGCCAAGATTAGCAAATTGACTTTACCCACATGCTCCCTATCAAAAGAACCAGGTATCTTCTCACCATAGCCAACACACTTGCTGGATGGGTAGAGGCATTCCCCACAACCTCAGGAAAGGCCTCAGAGGTCTCACATGCACTTTTGGAACATATCATCCCCCGATTCGGACTCCCCACCAAGCATAAGATGGCTATCTTAACTTCTATGACACTTTACTTATTCTTCTTTCCTTTAATTTCCCCCACCAAAACCATGTGGTCTAACAACACATTCTTTCTCACCTCCTGGGAACAAGCTGACAAATATTCCAGGCCTACAATTCCTCTTGCTGGGTTTGTTACCAACAACCCATCCTTTCTCGGGTGAAGCCTATCTTCAGGCCACCCCAGCTCATACACCCATAGTGTCTCAAACAAGCCATTTAGGGCCCCCCCCCTCAGTTTATTCCAGCCATACCCATAACCCTTTATCTGTTGATCCTGATGACTCCTTTTGCTTTTATCCTTCCAGCACCATCCTTCACACCAATCTACCACCATCCATAATGGCAACAGGTAGCTCTTTTGATTGCATGCCCCCCACCTGGGTCATTGCCTTCTATGATCCCTGATCCCTCTTCCCCAATTTACTCATGCCCCAAGGGCATCTGCTAATTTCTTAATCACACATCAGCTAAAGGAGTATGTAATGCTTCAGATGTCCACTCAGGCCCACATGCCATAAGCTGTACCACATCCCTTCCCCTGTCCTTTCCTAGTCTGTGCAATATTTCCCTCCAAACATACATTTATTGCCAGAGGGACTCATCCAAAATAGCCTGGGGGAAGACATACACCACAGCTCCTGCCCATGTTGCAACCCTATACACCCTTTAAATCCCCATTTTGTGTCATGGCTAAATCATTCATCCCTCTTAAGGTACACCACTAAACCTGGCCTACTGTGTCTCCCATCAGGTCTCATGTTTTGGGGGGACACAGACAACAAAGGAATTGCTCTACAATGTATAAATCCCATAAAAACTAGAGGTATTTGATCTATGGGGTATGTTTTACTGCCAGATAAGGATATTTCCATCCTTCTCCCCAAATCAATAACATCTACAATCCCCCCTCACCAACATGGCCAGAGGAGAGCCATAGGCCTCATACTGGTGGGAATTATGACACTCTTGAGCCTAGCAGGATTGGCAGGAGGAATTACATAAAATGCAATCACAGCCAAAAATATCACTACCACTATGAGTGTGGTGGCTCAAGATACAGGAGAGAACTTTAAACTCCTATCAGCTTCCCCTAATTCATTAGCTGCCATGGTAATAGATAATAGAATAGCACTAAATTATTTGTTAGCTTCAAAAGGAGGAGTTTGTGTGATTGCAAACACCTCATGCTGTTTCTATGTAAACACCACAGGAGAGGTAGAAGAAAGGACACAAAGGATTCTGGAAAATGCAGTGTGGCTAAAAAATTCCCTCAAAAGGATATAGCAGACTCAATCTGGAACTCCCTCCAATTTGTCCTCCCAGAAATGACCTGGCTCTTACCCTTCTTAGGACCCTAGTAATGATTATACTGGCTCTCCTCTTCAGCCCTTGTCTATTAGAACTTTTTCTACGTTTTTTTAAAGACAGAACTCAAGCCATCACCCAGTAATCAATTGGAGAGATCTTCATGATAGAACAAGCCCTTCCACACCTCCAACTCAATACCCAATCCTGACAACATCCTATACCAGCAGAAAGCAGTCAGAAAGACAAGCCACCTGCTTCCCAACCCTTTTTTATTTTTTTACCCATACTTTATCCTTCCTTTTCTTATATGTATATAATAAAAAGGGTGGAATTTTAGGCTTAAAGAATTTATCCTTCCCCAGCATCCAATAGATGTTGTTCTGATATGTGCATTTATGTGTTGATTAGTTAATACCAATTTGATGGTGAGTACAGCTGGGGAAGGGGGAGGGTGGTGGGTGGAGGGGGGAAAAGGAAGGAGGGGAGGGGTATTTGTATACACAAGGAGGGCAATGAGCACTATCCGAAGGATGGACATATTTGAAACACGGACTTCGGTGGGGGGGG